ATACAAAATTTCGAAAAAATTACAAAAGACGACGCCGACACGGCAACCGCCGCCGTCGTCGGCGCCGTCACCACCGCCGCACCCGACCCATTGTCATCAAAAAAAAAAAAATTTTTTTTCATGCACATTCAATTTTAAACAACAATAACGATTTTCTCATTGAAAATAATTAATTATTATCATTATTATTAATAATTCCGTTCACTGTCATTATTATTATTATTTATTCGAAAGGATTTTTTTTTTTATTCGCAAAAAAATTTCAAACGCATCATCATCATCATCATCATCATGATCACAAAAAATAATTTCAATATGGCGAAAGTTTTTTTTTTCTTTTTCGTTTGTTTCGCCATTTAAAACGGGAAACAAGTGGAAAAACGTTTTTTTATAAAATTATTTCCGTTTAAAAATCGTAAACATATTTACACGTAATAATAATAATAATAATAATGAATTGTTAAACAAATACAAAAAAAAAAGAGAGTGTATGTAAACAATGAAAATCAAAATGGCGGCAATTTTGTAAAAAAAAAAAAAAAAAAAAAAAAACGTGTATTTACTTAATGGGAAAAATAAACAAGGAGGGTTTAAAAATTTTTTTTTTTTTTTTTTAAACCCATAGAGTAAATAAATTTAATGTAAAAAAAAGAAAAGTTAAATTACCTGAACGTACTCTTTAGTAAACAAAACAAAGATCCTTTTAAATGATGACCCACATTTAAAAAATCGTATTTACCTTTCGGCTATAAAAAAATTTTTTTTTTAGTTTTTTTTTTTTTATAGTAGGTTTTGATTTATAAACTATACTATATATAGACTATAAAAATAAACATCTTTTTAATTTATTACATTTAAAAAAAAAAAATAAAATAAATTATGACGACATTTTTAAATTTATTTTTTCTTTTTTTTTTTTTTATTTTGTTCACGAGTGTGAGTAATGAGCCATTGTTTTTTATTTATTATTTATCTATTTTATTTTTTAAAAAAAATTTAATTGAAACAAAGCTTCCGTTATCATTAATTATTATTATTATTATTAATAAAAAAAATTATTTCAAATTGATGATGATGATGATAATAATTTTTTTGTTATTTTATATATTCGATGGTTTAGAAAAACATTCGGGAAAAAAAATTCTCATTCTTTATAGTTTTATTTAATTTTTTTTTTTTGGGTTGGTACTCTTGTTTTCACATGCGCGCACACACACACATATTAAAAAATCTATCGTTAAACAAATCGTATTCATTTTTGTTCCCGTTATTATTATTATTATTTAAAAAAAAAAAAAAAGAAAGAAAAGGAAGTTTGTAATTTTTTTTTCAACGCTATTTTTTCATCGGATATCGCCGAAAAATTTTTGGCGGCAAAGAGTTTTTTTATTCTATGACAATCGCGCAAAAAGTTTTACCATAATTTAAAACAAAAAAAAAAAAGAAAAAAATGTCGTTCGATTTAATAATAATAATAAATTACGGTGAGTGTAAAAGGAATTTTTTTTTTTTTTAAATTAAAAATTTCATGCGAAAGGTAATAATAATAATAATAATGAAGGATTTGTGTAGTATGTACGAAGAGAAAACGAAAGTCAAAAACCGAAAAAAATCGTTTTAAATATTATTATTATTATTATTTATAACAAAAAGTCGAAAGTAGAAAGCAAATCGATACTTCGTAAAAAAAAAAAATTTCATCTCGAAACTAATTAAAAGGAAAATGGCGTTAACACATCGTACGCCATTGTGGTTATTTTTTTTATTTATTTCGGTTTCCTTTAAAAAAAAAAAAAAATTTTCGTTTTCGATCGTTGCGGTCTCCTTACACACGAAAGTGTCAATTTAACGACCTACTTTTCTTCTGCTTTTTTTTTTGTTATTAAAAAAAAAAAAAAAAAATTTTTAATGACGAAACCGGTCAAACTTCAATAAAAAAAAAAAAAAAAAATTAAAAATAACCCGCCGCCATTATTATTATCATTATTATTATTATAATTGATCGTATGGTAAAATTATATTAATTAATGGTTGTCATTATTATTATTATTATTATTATTATTATTATTATTATTATTATTATTATTTTTTGCGAGAGAAAGAATAAAAAAAAAATAACGGAAATTATAAGAAAGTAAACGAAAAAAAAAAAAAAAAATTAAAATTCTTTAGGGCTTTTACTCTCTCTCTCTCTCTCTCTCTTTACGTATTTAACGATTTTTTGTTCGTTTGTACGTTTGTCGTCTGCTTTTCTTTATTTATTTATTAAAAAAAAAAAAAAAAAGAAAAACATTGATCGACACGAAAATTTTTCTAAAAATCTCAATCAAATCGATTTTCTCATCACGAATAATAATAATAATCATTCTTATCATCATCATCATCATCATCATCATCATCATTATCATCATCATCATCATTATTATTATTCTCGTTCTTTACGCCCCCATTTTTTTTTTTTTTTTTTAATTTCCTACAATTAAAATTTTTCTTTTTCATTTTAATTTTTTTTTCTTTTTTTTATTTTTTGTTATAAATAAAATAAAAGAAATTCGAATTCGAGAAGTAAATAATAATAATAATAATAATGACTCGATAAACTCGATTGTGTGTGTTTAGGTAAAAAAAAAACTAGTTTTACCCCCCGGGGGGAGTACTCTGCCCTCTTTTTTTTAGTTTTTTTCCAGTTCGAAATGCCTACTTTTTCCAGCATTGCCGCCTCGCTATCGCAACCATTTTTTTTTTTATTAACGTCATCATCATCATCATCATTATTATTATTATTACCAACACGATAATTTCGATGTTAAAAATTGGAAAAGAAAAAAAAAAGAAAACAATGGAAATGAATGAAATGAACTTTTTTTTTAAATATCAACTTTTCACTTTTCTTTTTTTTTCGGGGCGTCGTTTTTTTTATTTCTTTTAAAAAATAAAAATTTTCACGACGTTTCCCCTTCTCCCCCCTCTTCCCCCTCCCCCGATATTTCACATAAAAGATAAATGATAAAAAAAAAAAATTTCACGACCCCCATCAACTTATAAATTTTTAAGTTTAAATAAAAAATTAAACTCGTCGAACGAGTTTTGCATTCGTTTATCCACGTTCTACTTGCCGATACTAATTATCTAACATTATCATTATTATCATTATCATTATCATATTTAAACGATATTGTATTTATACCAAATCATCATCATTATTATTATTATTATTTTCGTATTCGATTTATCGATCCATCGATCCTTTTTAATTAATTTTTCATCTCATCGATCCGTAAAAAAAAAAAATAAATAAATTTTTTTTTCCAGTCGATTTATTTTTTTGAAATCATTTTTTTGTTGTTGTTGTTATCATTTCGTTGATAACGAGTCAAAGTACTCGTCACACTCTCACGATTCCAAAATTTTAATTGGGGGGGGGGCAAAAGTGGGGAGGCTTAACACGAGAGACTCAAAAGTCACGGTTAAGATGTATCAAAGTCATTCATTCACATCTCAAACTACTCGCAAGTGTATTTAATTACAATCTTATCAAGCAGACGTCATTCATCTCATCTCTCTCTCTCACTCTCTCACTCTCTCTCTCTCTCTCTCTCTCTCTCTCTCAGTTTAATAACATTAAATTATCATGTTGGAGAATGTAAATAAATGATGAAGAAATCAAAAAAAAGTTTTTTTTTTCTCTAACATTCGTGTGATGACCTTAACTCTCGTGTGAATTCCACACGCCATAATCATTCGTTTAATAATGATAATAATAATAATAATGATAATAATGATAATGATAATTTAAATGATTTTAATTCGATTCCAGTGAAGGATAATTAAAAATTATTCACGTCACAAATTATTCTTTTTAGTTCATTTTTTTTTTTTTTTTAATTTTGGAAATCGCTCTTGTTTGTTCGTTTGTTTTTAATGTAAAAAATAATAATAATAAAAATTAATTATTAACGGGTAGGGGGAAGGGGAAGGAGGTTTCCACTCGACTGGAAAATATTTTTTGTTACGTGGAATTTGTTTGTTTTCGCACGTTCACACCACGTACTGATTAAAATTTAATTGTAATTTTAACGCCGTGATAACTCTGCGTTACAATACAAAAAAAAAAAAAACGTTTTCTTTTTTATTATCATTATCATCATCATCATCATCATCATCATCACCTCTTCGAACGTTTAAATTAATTAAAAAAAAAAAAAAAAAAACGATTACGGATTGGAAACGCCATTTTTTCTTTTTTTTTTCAATTTAAAAATTTTAAACGATTCGAATTTTTAAATTTGTAAATTTATTATTATTATTATTATTATTATTATTATTATTATTATTATTATTATGTGAACGTGTTAAGAAGACTATGTGATACGTTATTAAATCCCAATATTTCACCTACTTAAATCCCCTTTTTTTTTTAAAAAAAAAACTTTCTTTCTATAATTTTGTGCGTGATTTGAGATTTTTACTCGTGAGTAGTAGTAGTTGTAGTAGCAGTAGTGGTAGTAGTGGTAAAGGTCATTGATAATGATGATTTTTTTTGGTTAATTAACTCGTCGTAATTATAAATAAAAGTGTCGGTTAATTAATTTGTTTTTCAGGTTTTGTATAAAATCAGGTTTTCAATTCGTTATCATAACCTTGACTATGGCAAGAATTAAACCGTTCGTGAAAGATGATTGCTCGCAACGGTGATGGTGGTGGTGGTGACGGTGGTAGTACCACCAATTCTATCACTTTTTTTTCAATTTAATTTGTGTCGACTGAAATTATCTAAGAGAGAGAGAGATAGAGAGCAAAGAAATTTTTTTTTTTTTTTTTTACTTTCTTCCAGTCAGACGAGTTTTTTTTTTTTTTTATTCCAGTTAACATTTTTTTTTTTTTGTGTTTCAGCCTTACCAACCTCGGAAGCCAAACACAATTGACAATGCGGATTTCTCCGATTGTGCGAGACAAGGTGAGAAGATACAAAAAAATTTTTTTTTTATACGAATCGTATAATGAAAGTTTTTTCCTATCGGGGATGTTATTCGTGGTCACGGGGTTTACTCATAATTTTCGTCATTAATTTCTTTTCGAATGGATTTAATTTATTGACTAAAAGTTTGTTTGTTTGTTTGTTTGTTACGATGTAGAAATTTTAAAAAAAAAAACTTGTCTGATACAATTGGAACAACAAAATATTAAAAAACCTTTAGGTTGTTTGTTACATTGATAATCCTTAAGGGGACAAAGAATATGCTTTGTAATCATCGAGTTAATAATATTAAAAGTAGATTTCAAATTATTATTATTATTATTACTGATCTAAAAAATTTTTCTTTTTTTTTTTTGTAGGAGAATGGAAGCCAATTGGAGTTATAGATAGTCATTCGTACGAACAAGGTTTGTCATTAAATGGCGGCGGTGATTTACATTTGGGACATTCGGATATTTTACAATCCGTTGGTAGTTATCCAGTTGGTAATAAAATAATTCCTCATTGGCACGATACAAATTTTCAATCTCATTCCCATTCGGAATCTTCTCTACCACATAATCATAAACCGTTTTCCGGTGGTTTCGGTGATAATAATTACGGTGCTTCCGAAATAGGATCAGGAGCTAATGCACACGGAAATGGAGCTCATTATGGATCTGGAAATGGTGGATCTGGAGGAAGTGTTCATTTCGGATCTGGAAGTGGTGGATCCGTAGGTGGAGGTCATTTCGGATCTGGAAGTGGTGGATCCGTAGGCGGAGGTCATTTCGGATCTGGAAGTGGTGGATCCGTAGGCGGAGGTCATTTTGGATCTGGAAGTGGTGGATCCGTAGGCGGAGGTCATTTCGGATCTGGAAGTGGTGGATCCGTAGGCGGAGGTCATTTCGGATCTGGAAGTGGTGGATCCGGAGGAGGTGTTCATTTCGGAGCTGGAAGTGGTGGATCCGTAGGTGAAGGTCATTTTGGATCCGGACATGGTAAACCTGGAGGAGGAGGCGGAGGGCATTTTGGACCCGGCCATAGTAAACCTGGAGGAGGAGGAGGTGGACATTTCGGACCGGGAAATAGCGGACCCGTTGGTGGAGCTCATTTCGGATCGGGAAATAATGGATTGGGAGGACACGGAGTTCATTTTGCATCGGGAAGTAATGGACAAGCAGGAGGATCACATTTTGAATCAGGAAATGCTTTGAGCACTCATCACGGAAGTTCCTTGTCGAACGCTGAATATCAAAAAATTAAATCTAGCAACATGTTGTCACCACCACCGTTACCACCAGTCGTAGTTGGGAAAAAACCCGGTTTTAGAAAAGTGCCAAAATTTAAACAAAAATATAATAATTACAAGAAAAAAAGACCCACCGGACATAGAAACCCACATCCGGGTTTTGGAAATGTAAATTTTAAAGGTCACGGAGGAGTTAATTCAGGAGGTTTATCTAATTTTCAAAATACAAATACCAACGGACACTTTGGTAAGGGATCACCACCTGGGTTTTCAAGATTTCCAAAACCCGGTTACAAAGGTACCGGTGGAAAACATATTGCTTTTCCGGGTAACGTAAATCACGGAGGTTTAAAAACAGGAGCATCGAGTTTTAGCGCCAGCGGAGGAAATGCATTTTATAATTATCGAATTAAAAATATCGCATTAAAAGAACCTTTGTTGTACGATCAAATAAAAGGAGGACATTTGGGACTATCAAATTACGCTGGAGGGTACGCTGGTGCTTATGGTGCTCCTTACGTCGGAAGTTTTAACGAATTTTCATCCAGTTCTCTTAATTATGGAAAAATTCCCAATCAATCGCCTTTGAGTTCGGGAAGCAGTTTATACTCAAATCATTTGAGCTATGGCGAGGGTAGTAAAAAACCATCTGAACACCTAACCGTTAATATAGGAGGTGGTTCGAGTCATTCCGGAGTATCAAGCGATGTAACATCCTCTGAATATTTAAGTGCTGCTGGTGGAGGAAATTCCATTAAAATTTCAGGTTCTTCTGGAGGACTCGGTCATGAAGGAGGAGGAGGAGGGCATTCAAATCATGCTAATGGCGACGGAGTTCATAACGTACATTTAGGCTTAAATAATGGTAATAATGCATACAATGTTGATTTAAGTCATGGAGAGGAAAGTGGAGTATCAACTGAGCATGGAGGATTTAACGGAGGAAATGATGCGCATTTAAGTTTTGGAAGCGAGGAAACGAAAGATTCATATGAAAACATCAATTCTGGTTCGTCGGGACAAAGTCATGGAGGAAATGAAATTTCTTCAGGTCTCGAACACTTAAACGAAATACAAGGAATCGTAAAAGCCATAGTAGAAAACGACGTGGTACCGGGACAATCGGGACAACCAAACCATAATCCTTACTCTTCAGGCGAACCGAATCTGGCCAACGGAAATGGGGAATATTTTGGATTTTTAAACCTTCATGGTGGCAATCACAATGGCGATGCAAGTGGAATATTAACAGGACAACAACAAGTTAATTTAGGAGTAACACCAGTGCCGCTAGGACATATAAATTTTGGTATCGATAATGCAGCTTCTTCTACTCTCTTACCTCCGAACGTTGGTGGAACTTATGGTGGATACGTTTTACCCGCCGCTCCTCCCCATTACGCCGGTGCTTCTTCTTCTCATTTAGCACAAGAAAATGACAATAAAGAAGCCAAAGGTTTAGTTCATATAAACGGTGGGTTGAGAGGAGATACTACCCCATCAAGTTCTGATCCTTCTGAAAACTTATCTCTACTGGGTCCAAATTCTCCAGTTAATTTCGTCGTATCCGACGGCCATAATACTATCATTGATCATCATTTAGGATCAGTAAGCTCGGTACAATACCACGGCGGTGTTGAAAATTTAGCAGGTTCTTCCAATTACGAAACGGATAGCGTCAGCGGTGGTAGTAATAACAACAACGTAGCGCATCTACAATCTAATGATTTAACCAATCACGGATTAGTAGCTTCATCTACTGTGCAAACTTACCATGATCAATCGGCCATTGGAGGATCTTTGCCTTATCAAAGCAGCAATTTAGTTATCGGAACTCCTGTTTTGTTAAATGGTCATTACGGCGAAGCATTGGGTTTAGGCTTACAGGCACCACCCAGTTCTGTCGGACCAAATTTCGGCGTAAGGGATCCAAACGTTATTACTTTAACTTCCACCGGTTTTCCCAGCGTTACTACCGAATCAAGCGTTGAAAATCTTTTATCGGGATCTCCGATTTCGGGAATCACCCATCAAGCAATACAAGAAGGCGTTTCGGGAGGAGGTCAATTCTCCGGTGGTAATTATGTGGGCGGTCACACAGTACACGGAACGAGGGGTGGAGGAAAACACATATCCGATAATTCAGCATTATCATCGTCACAATTACATCACGTGGGAAGCTCATCGGATTCGAACATAGATTTATCACAGGACTCTAGTCAAGATCATTCGGGATTCGTGCTTCACGCATACGGAGTTTTAGACGATTCGTCTACGTTTACATGTGGAAAAAATCATTATCACAATACAAAATATCACACGGCGACATTTCAAGTAGCCGACAACGATCATCCTTCATCAATCGATGTAATAAAATACAACGGAGATTCAGCCGTTTTGGTAAGATCTCAAAATCCCGGTTTTCACAATGATATACTACCGCAAAGGAAAAGTTTCGACGATGCCGACGACGAAAAGAAAACCGACGACGACATAATAACATTCGAAAAAGAAGAAAAATCTGAAAAAGGAATCCAAGAGAAAACTGGTCGTTCGTCGGCATACCACTCGGAAACAATAAAAAACGGTGAAAGTAGTAATGCGGTCTTAGAATCGTTAAATCAATATAACCATCGTAATACAAAACCTCAAACTTTTACTAACGGTCAGTCACGTGACAACCATTTTTACAAACAACAACAACAACAATCCGACGATATAAAAAATGAAGATGATGATAATAAAGAATTTAAACAAAACGGATACGAAGTTAACGAAGATACATACGAAACATATTCAACGCCAGGAAGTAAACCGGATACGGTTAAAAATTTACTACATCCGCAATTTTCTAAAAAATCATTTGATGATTTTATTGAAATAAAATCTTCTCCAAGAACGGCCACCGCCACCGTCGATACGATACCGATCGAATTTAACGAATCAAAATTTTCAGAAAATGGCGACGGTTTAAGATCGATCGAAGATATATATCCTCCTCAAATAAATAATAATAATAATAAATACAATATAAAAAAAAACAAAAATCACAATTTTTCTCGTACTATAGGATCATCGAACGATAATACCGGAAGAAGATATTTTAGAAATCATCAGAAATCATCACAAGAACCGATTTTACGCGGGAGATCTGAAAATTCACCGCCTTCTTCTATCGTACGACTCGTACGAAGTTAACGTTAAAATAAATTATTTAATTTTAATAACGCCATTTTGTGTTTCATCCTTCATCGAATCATATTAATTTAATCATCATTATTATTATTATTGCTTTGGTGAGTGTACATTGAGAATATTTATTTATTTATTTATTTATAATTTCGACGACTCGACGATCAACCAATGAAAAAATTCAAATTTAAATTCAAATTCATTCATTCATTATAATATATATTTTTTTTCGCATTTAATTAGTATTAATTAATCGCTTGAATTAATTTTATATCTAATGCCACGTATAAATAAATAAAATGCGCATTTATTTATTTATTTGAATTGTTAATAATTATTATTATTTTTTTTAAATAAATAAATAACCTATTTTTTTGTTTTATTTATTATTATGTAAGTTATTAATTATAAATTAATTAATTAATTATTTTTTTTATTTAAAATTTTTATTGTTTTTTGACACGATTTTGCTTTAAAGGAATTCAAAAAAAAATTTTTTTTAAATTATTTATTAATTTATATTATTTTATTTTTAAAAAAATTACTTTAATTATTAATAGTAATGATGATAATAATACTGTGTAATAATTTTTTTAAATAATTAGTAATATTATTATGTACATATTCTTTGGCATTAGTTTAACGATTCGCGAGTTTTTTTGCAAAAAGAAAATTTTCCCGCCATTTTGTGCAAAAAAAAAAAAAAATTTTTTTTATTTAAAAAAATACATGAATGTACCGCTTTTTATCTACTTGTAATTTTAAGTCGTTTTTTTTCGAATAATAAAGACGAAACGGGGAAGATCCACGGTCGGATTATAATCCCCTGTTTTATCGATCGGATAAATAATATTTTACGACCTAAGATTAACAAGCAGGAAGGCAGTGATAAAAAAAAAGCGGCTTTTACAAAAGAAAAGTTAAAATCCCTAAAAGAAATATAATAAATATTGTTTTTTTTTTGAATCCCTATAGGAAAAAATAAAACAAACAAATAAAAGATCCCGATTTTGGTAAAGGTGGAGGACTTGGGACTTTAACGGGTTTACCCAAACGTCGTTTAATTATTTTAATTTTTCTTTCGTCTTCATCATTTTGGTAATTTTTTTTTTTATTTTCTCTTTTTTCGAATAATGTTTTTTTATTATTATTATTATTATTATTATTATCATTAACTTTTTCTACTTCCCCATCATCATCGTCGTCGACTTGACGTTCTTCTTCGTCGGTATCATAATCGTAACCATCGTTTTTAATACCATTTTTATAATCGATTTCAGGTTGAGAATAAGCAAATATGTAATCGTTTTTTTTTCTCGTTTGTTCTTCTACTTCTTCTACTTTTTCGTTTGGTAAAAATGTTTTTGGAATCGTGGATTCATCTTCATTAAAATGCGTTACAGCTTCCATTGTATAAAGATCCCATTCGGATTTTGTTTTACGATATGGTAAACCATTTGAAATTTTTCTTATTGGCATTGGTGAGTAAGATTCATTTTCTTCATTTTTCGATTTATTTAAACTTTCTTTTTTACCCTGTAAATCAAATTTTTTTTTTTGCTTCCGTTTCAAACAAACAACAACAACGACAACGACAAATATACAAACCTTAATACGAAATAATTTTTTTTCGTTAATAATTTTTATTAAAAAATAAATAGATACAATAACGTTCCAAAACCATAAAACAATCAACCTACACGAAACCAAACCGAATATCAAAGGAATAAATTGTATCCCACCCAATAGGGGATTTTCAATAAAATCATTATCCGAATCTAAATAATTCTAATTAAGGAAAAAGAAAAAAAAATTTTTTTTTATTAATTAAAATATTTTGTGGGAGAGGGGGGAAATGATTTCGGGGAGTGAAAAAAATTCTTACGATTAACGAAAACATATCTTGAAAAAGTTGAAATGTTAAAAATCCATCCAAACATGACATGGATAATGTTAATAAGGTCCATCCCATAAGTAAATCCGTTAATCTTTTTTTATTCCCGATTATCTCTTTATTATCTACAAAAAAAAAAAAATTACAATTTTTCTCCAGAAGAAACAAGAAGCAACAAAAAATTTTTCACTCACTTGCTTTGTATAAAAAAATACTTAGGATGACGTGGGAAATGTTAAACATAATTTTTGCTACGAGTATAGCAAAAATTATGTCCGGAGTCATTAAATTTATTTTTTCCCCATTTTTATAATCGTTGTTAAATTTTCCCAAATAATTTCCATCCAGCGGACATTTCGGACCTGTAAAACACACCGGAAAATATTGTTATACGATTCGTATAGTATTACAAATTATTATTATTATTATTATTTACCTTCGAAATAAAGTTTTACAAACGTCACTCGAAAAAAATCAGGTGTGCCAACATAAGGTTCGACGGGTATCGTGCAAAGATAAATTAAACAACAGAATATACACAATCCTAACCATATTGTCGATTGAATCTATAATCGAAATCCCCGACCCCCCCAAAAAAAAAAAAAACAGACGATTATGTTGTGGTTGTTGTTGTTGTTGTCGTGTAATTTTTTAAAATACGTACCAAACCACATATGGAAGCAACGGAAATAACAAAACTGTATCGTTTAGACATTTTGTTTTTTTTTTAAATTTAACGTTCTTAACTACATTTCACGTTCGTTCGATTCGATAACGTTGAAATAATAAAACTAAAACTAAAACTAAAAAATTATCAATCTTACTGATAAGATTTAAACGTTATTGATAAAAGATAACAAATAAAACAACCGAAAAAAATAATTTAAAAAAAAAAAAAACGAGTTTGTTCGTAATCTTTATTTTCTTATTGACGCATACTACGACGAATGATTTTTATGTTTTGACAACAACAACAACAGAAACAACAGATACAGCAGGAAATAGATTTATTGTAAATATTCTAATACCAAAAGAATAACAAAAAAAAACGAATAAATTATTCGAAAGAAAAGCGAAAGAAAAACAAAAGACTTTGTCGTTAATGCGAATAAGTTCGAATTCATTGTTGTGACGTAATAAGAAAATTTAAATTTTGGCGGGTCGAACTGAACGTACTCTCGTTTTTTTGTTTATTTATTCTATGATATTTTTATTTGTCAAATCACATCATCATCTACGGCCATTTCATACGTCGTGTTTCTTTAATTTTTTCGTTTCTTTTTTTTTCCATAATAATATTAATAATAATAATAATAATGAATATTATTTTTAATTAAATAGAAAATAGATAAATAATATTAATAATGGCGGCGGAGGAGAACGTGTAATATTTTTAATAATAGTAATAATAAAGATAAAAGAAAATAGGGAAAAACCGAAAAATTAAACATCGTAAAATTTTTTTTTTTTTTTTATCTTTTTATTTATTTTACAAGACGACGATGATGATAATAATAATTACGGATATTTGTTAAAGTATTAATAATTGATTATTTTTCTTTTACGGCAGACATTTTTATTTTATTTTTGTCAAAAAGAAAAATGGCCGCCGTAAGCGTTCTTTTATAAGTCGAAATAATTAAACGATTAAATTATTATTAAGTGATTTATTATTTTATTAAATTGATAACAAAAAAAAATTATTATTATTATTATTTATTATTTATTTATTTGTCCAGGTTTTTTCTGGAAGTTTTTCTTTTTTTTTTTTTTTATTCGTTGACGACACTTTCCGAATCGGTGTCATATTCTGATTTATTATTATTATCATTATTAGAATTTCCTTCATCGGGACTGTTTTCGTGAAAATGTGAATCGTCGGATTCTGTACTTTCGCTGCTGCTGTTGCTGCTGTAGCTGTCGCCGTCATAGATTTGTCGTTTTTTAACGGATAATTTTGGTAAATCGGATGATAACGGTTCTGCTTTTACATCTTCAACGGATTCTTTTTCTTCTGCTTCTGTTTTCTTATCGTTTTCTCCATTTCCTTAAAAAAAATATTCATTCATTCATTCTTCTTTTTCTTTTTTAATTAAAAAAAAAATTTTTTTAAATTTTTTTCTACCTGAATTTTCATCGCCATTTTCTTTACTTTCATCGCTTGTTTCCCCATCTGTCACGCTCCTGTAATTTTATTTTCCCGTTATTTAATCCTATCGAACAAACGTATTAATAATAATAATAATGCACATACCTCGTTTTCTTATCGTTTTCCGGTTGTTGTTGTTGTGGTTGCTGTTGTGCCTGTTCTGCTACTTCTTCCTTTTTACACAAATGTAAAAAACCTTTTAATCCACCGCAAGAACTTGGATTTGTTGTTGTTGTTGTTTCTTCGTTTGTTTTAACCGTTGTTGTTGTTGTTGTCGCCGTAACTTCTTTATTTAACGTTTCCTTTTTTTCATCGCTTATAAAAAAAATTAAAAAACGTTTAAACTTTACTAACAACCGTCCCTAATTTGACCTTGTTTGTCGTTATTATAATTAAACGTTCCGTAAAAAACGTTCGCTCTTTTTTTTACACGTTTATTATTATTATTATTATCATTACTATTATTATCATTTATTATTATTAATGCTCAAATTAAAAGAAAAGAAAAAAAACTTACTTGGAATTTCCAGACTGTGCGACAGGATTACCATTTATGGCAAATGCAAAATTTAATAATAAAAATGCGAAAATCTAAAATAAATAAATAAATTAATAAGTTTTTATTGATTATTAACAAAAAATTGCGTAGTACGTGCGTGCGTGAGTGTGTGCGTTTTCAGAGGTACTTTTTTTAATAATTAAACGACAGGCAGGGAAAAAAAAAGAAAAACGCCGGGAAAAAATTTTTTTCCTTCGTGTCTTTGCCCCCCTTTGCCCTTTCGATATTAATTTTAAAATTTATTATGATTATTATTATTATTAATATTATTATATCGAACTTACCGATAATTTAATACCTTCCATGATGTCTCGTTTCATCGACAAAAAAATAAAAAAATCACTTTGACGTTTTATTATATATATACGAAAGGGAATAGAAAAAAAAAGGCACTAATTGATGTCGAATCACGTTCGTGACCGTTGTAATTATTTTTTATTTACCTTATGAATGACGTCACGACTAACATTTTTCTCTCTCTCTCTCTCTCTCTTTTTGTTTTCGAAGGTGGTGTGGACGAGAAAACTTTTTATTAATCCAAAGTGAATTAATTAAGCAAATAATAAAAATTGAAATTATTATATTTAAAATAAATATCGTCGGGAAGAGAAATCAAAAAAAAAAAAAAAAAAAAAAAAAATGGCGGACTCGAATTTCAAATTTTTTTTTTTTTTAATGTCGTATTCACGTAATGCAAATTTTTATTACTAACGAACGGAAAAAAAAGAAAAAAAATGGTTAAAATTCAAATTCAAGGACGAAAAATAAAAAATCACATTGTTTGTTTTTTTCATTATGACAAGAAATAAAAGAATTATTAATGACGTCACGAATGGAAACGGTTAAAACCGTTAGAATTTATAAGATACACGCAAAAAAAAATAATCGAAATCGTTTAACAACCCAAAAAAAAAAAAAAAATTTCCAAATTATTATTATACCGAAGAGTGTCTTTATCTAGGACCGTATTAAGGTTTCTAACCGCCGATCCCTAAGAAATAAATGTTTCAACATCGGTGATGCTCGGGTAGGTTTCATTTTGTTATAACCTATGATGACATGACAACAATTCTTGTGAGTCTCACTGAAACCATCTTATTCGATGGAAACGAGCTATCTCCAGTACTCCTGGGCTCCAGGAACAGGAGAAGTGAGATTCACAACCTTGTCAAGAGCTTTTTTATTTATTTTTTTTTTTGATTTTTCAGGAGAAATGCAGATTACGCAGGGTTCGTTACATTTACTCGTCGGAGTAAAAAATGCGCAAAGCAAAAGCTGAATGGTGAGCTTGCAGTTCAAACCACCACGGGCGGCGGTGGAGAAAAATTTTTTTAAGACATCGTCTGCTAATTCCACGATGATTTTAACGCGACGTTATCATCCGAAACGTTTTTTTTTTGTAGTTTTTCTCGTCCGAAATATTCCAAATAAAAAAGTTTCCTTTTAGGGTTAGAACGATAATATTTAAATTCACGATTTCTTTTTTGCAAGATTGATGAGTGGAGAAAAGGTGAAAATGAGAGAGAGAGAGAAAAAATACGCGCGTTTTTACTCGATGGTAAGTAGGTAGAACGCGGATGAAACAAAAGAAAATTTTTTTTTTTTTATAAAGTTTTTACATTTGTCTTTACTAATTGGAATTACATTTTTTTTCTTTCATTTAGGAAAGGACCAGTAAAGACGAGCCGGCACATTCAGGAGTGACAGTATCAGACAGCGAAACAAGATGATGTCTACCTTTTGGAGAGGAGAGGAGAGGTGACAAAAACGTTTCTGTTATATTTTCAAATAATTTAAATAATGGCTACGATTTCGTTTTGGAAAAAAGTACGAAAAAGCGAGAAGGCAAGAAGGGGAAGGGAAGGAGGGAAAGGCGAGAAAGAGGAATAATTAGAAAAAATCAAGTTCGGTTGTTTATCGTCATAGAAGGAACCTCGTTTTAAACCTGTAATTAAATTTTGAGTGATGATTGAACGTTTGATTTATATTTGGCCACGTTTATATTATATACATATATATGTATAAAATATATGTATGTATATTTTTCTTAATCGTGCCACATAAACTACTAAATTTGCCACAAACGATTATTAAGTTTTCCGTTTTTTTTTTTTTTTTTTTTTCAAATTTATAATGATAATAATAATAATAATAATATAGTAATATATGTATTTATTCTCTCAAATATATTATTTAAAAAAAAAATAAAATTTGTTTTTTTTTTTTCCCACCATGCATGTTTGGTTATATCATTCATTTATTCCCATAAAAGAAAAACTTAAAAGAAATTTTTATACAAATTGGGTTATGCAACTGGCAATACGCGAAACCCGACAAATTGCATAACTCAAAAAAGTAAGGCGAACGGAAAAAATCGAAAAAATTCAAAAATCCTTAAAAATTTTGGTTATGCAACTGGCAATACGCGTGAACACGACAAATTGCATAACTCACAAAAGTAAGGCGAACGAAAAAAAATCAAGAAAAATGAGTGAAAAATTGGTTCCGAGTATCAGTAAAACATAATATTTAGGAGGTCTCAATTTTTCGATAGTTTCGTTTCGCTTCAACGCCTTACATTTAGAGTATATGCAATTTTCAATACAATTTTTAACCAATGGCGTGCTTTGTATACATAATGAAAAATTAATGGCGCTCGCCATTCTTACTCGTGATTGGTCAGAAAAAAAAATCACATATTTTTCATGTTTAACTTATGTATTAATAGGAATAAAATTTGAATTATGAAATAACTATATTTTGAAGCAAAATTTTGTATGTGTATATATTTAATGTGACCAAGGATGGAGAAACGAATTTAAAATAAAAAATAATAATAATAATAAGGATAATAAATAAATTTTATTTAATTATTATTTATTTATTTATTATTATTATAATTATGTAAAAATATTTATTCGTGGCCGTATTATAAAAGCAATGTATATATATATATATATAGTTATGTTCGGTTGTTCTTTATATTATAAGTCGCAAATTAATATTAAAATTAATTTACAGTTTATTTCTTGTGACGTGTTAAGTGCTTAGCATAGACTTTTTCACAAAATAAAAGTAAAGGTTATTTTAACTCGCGAACAAACACTTAGAAACTATCACTCAACCAAAACTAAACGGATAAGAATTCAATATAACAAACAAGTATCGAAAGAACGCGTGCAAAGCTGTGAAGCTTCCTTTTATAACCTCGGTTTTTCGTTAGTCAATTGTTTCGAATGTCCAACAATCTAAACAAGCAAATACTTGCAAATAAAACAAAAGAAAGAGTTTCTAGAAGCTTCACTTCTAAAGAAGAACAATTTGAGTTCATCGTTAGTCTTTTGTTTATAAAAAAATTGAAAAATGTGAACATTGTGTACGGGATCATAACAATATATATATATATATATAATTACAAGGCCAAAAGTGTATTCTATTACTGGAACAGCTAATGTGCCGATGGAGTTTAACTTATTTCTTCCATTCAGTTCCGAATGTAATATAAGCATCAATCTTTTAAAATATTCTTTCTTTAATTGCGGTTTAATTTCCTTGTTGGCTACCCCAAAATTTTCTTCAATCCCCCGATATTTGTATGTTGATCCAGGGTCCAGTTCTTTAATAAGTTCTTCTCCAGCGCCTTCTATATTTTCCTTTTGTTTTAACTTTCCACTGACAATATTAACTTTTGCACATTTTTCCAAACCAAATTTCAAGTTGATGTCAGAGGAAAAAGTTTGAACCGTCCTTAGCATTTTATTTAACTCCTCTTCATTTTTTGCATAAATTTTTAAGTCATCCATATACAGCATATGGGTGATTTTCCTGCCTCCCGGTACCAACTCATATCCTTCAGTCGCAGGAGTATAACTCCCATTTCAGCCTCAACCTCAACCCTTCTCTCAAAGCCGGAATTATCAGATTCGAACTGGCAAAGGTGAGAGCAGATTCCCCTCCGGCATGGGCCGCTGCAGAGATTCGCTCCACCCAATTGGGATACTTCCCTCAACCATGTGGGAGGCATTCCGGAGGTATCACTTTCGGTCCTGCCTCCCATAATTACACATGTACATATACATACATAATTTAATACAGTATTCATGTTAGAGTGAATTCATATTCAGATAAATGAGAAACATTTGATCTTTCTGCGACTATCCTACAATAATCCCAACAGTGAAAATTTCTTTCGTTTAATTGAAGATATTTTGTGCAAAGGTTTAATTCTTTGTTCCAATCAGGTTTGGGTAAATTGTCCAAGATTCATATTCTAAGATGCCAACTACCATAGGATTTTGGATTTACTCTTAGGCACTGTTCTGTCAATTGTAAATCTTTTTCTGAATGAATTTTTTAATGAATATTTGATTCATTATTTTTTAAATTCTATTGCCTTTTTCTGTTTCTCTTGCCTTTGTTCTTCTGTCGTTCTTATTTTGACTCTCCCGTGCATTTTGTAATTTTTTTAAAAACAAATTTTACGATTTTTTTTTGAAATAAATACAGGAAAAATAACTCACAATGGGAAATAGTAAAAATAATAGTAATATATGTAAACAACCATAGACATCAATTTAAACTTAATTATATCGATGGTAAATAAAGTGTCATTAGAAAAATGTATTTCACTTTAACGTGGAACTTATAAAAATATGGAAGCTTTTAAAGTAGCCAATGCATAAATATTTTCGTTAAATAATTTTTTTTATGTAAATTATTGGGTTGGCCAGTAAGTAACTTCGCATGTTACTAAGAGATAGTTTGTCCATTTTTTTAGTACGTTTACGTTTATGTACAAACATGAACTTTTGGTATGTTATTACTAGGTTTCTTCTGTAACATTCAGTACCAAAATTTCAATTGAACTCTTAAATAGTGCGCGAGCAAAAGACATTTAAACATGGGGAGCCAAAGCGAGCATTTCCTCCACATTTTGCTTTTTTATTTCTGAAAGGGTGTTAATGCTTCACAAGCCAATAAAAAGTTGTGGGCCGTGTAGGGGGATGAAACCTTAATAGAACGGCAGTGTCACAACTGGTTTGCGAAATTCCGTTCTGGAAATTTTCCTTTGAAAAATGAGGAGTGCTCCGGGCGTCCATTGGAGGTTAATGATGAGCAAATAAAGGCCCTCATTGATAATGATCGGCATACTTCGACTAAGGACATTGTAAAGAAGCTAGATGAGTCACATACGTGCGTCAAAAACCATCTGCGGCGACTTTGGTACCAAAAGAAGCTTGTTGGGTTTTTGCGATATGTTTCTTAAATGCAATGCGAATGACCCTTTTTTGAAAGAATGGTCACCGGAGATGAAAAGTAGGTTGTTTATGATGACTTTTTGAGAAAAAGATCCTGGTCTAGGCAAGAAAACAGGCACCTTAGAACTTCTAAGGCTGACATTCATCAAAAAAGTTATTGTTATCATTTTGGTGGGATTACAAAGGCATAGTCAACTTTTAGCTGCTGGGACAAAGTCAGACCATAAATTCAGATGTTTACATTTGACAATTGACAAATTTAAATGATACCATCCAAGAAAAACGACCATAGCTAGCCAATAACAAAGGAATTGTCTTTCATTACCATAATGCCAGGCCCTCCCCATCTTTAGCCACTGGACAAAAACTACTGGAGCTAGGCTGGGATGTTTTGCCTCACTCTCCTTATAGTCCTGACCTAGTTCGAAGTGAGTATCATTTTTTCTGATCCCTAAAAAATTTTTTGAATGGACAAAAATTCCAAAATGACAATGAGGTTGTCAAAACTGCATTGGACCAGTTTTTTGCTCCTAAAACTAAAGAGTTTTATGAAAAAAGGAAAATGATACTATAGAAAAGTTTCTTAAAAAGTTTAAGAAATTAAATCATTATTTATAGGCTGATATACAATAATTAATTGTTTTTTTTTTTTCTTTTTATTTCAGTGCACTAAACAAATCAAGATTAAAATATTGTATTTTCTTCTATTACCTACTTTTTTTTGCCATGTTTGCAAAACTATTACCAGACATCCTTGATAGATTAGATATATTCATTTTGGAAATAGAAGAACTTCAAGTGCCAAAACCCCAACTCTGGGAACATTTATGGTGTCTTTCAATAATTGTCACTTTTTTTGGCCTGTCAGCAATTAAAAAAAATAAAATAAACGTTATTAATCAATATATATATATGGAATTATAATATTCGGTTTTGGTACCACGTTATTTGGCGCCATGTATTATTTCCATGAAGTTTGGACTTATCTTAGATCAGTAGAAAATGATGATATTATATTGTGGCAAGGTTTACCCTATGGTTTACTATGGCATGTTTTCATATTGGCCGCATTTCAGGTACATTTTTTTTCCATATATTTTGCATGGAATTTAAGAAATGCTTGGAAAACAAGAGGATCCCATAAGAAATCCGGTAATTTTAATATTTTAGGATCTGGAAGTATCGTTTAACCTCAACACGGATCTCTTCCTCCCACGACCGTGGGACCTGGAACAACGACGGCCGTACCCCAGCCCGGTCAAACGCCGGCCAAACAAAATCGAGTCACTACACCATGGGATTAGATCCTCTCACAATTCTTCAAGAAAGAGAAAACAGGTAAAATTGGCTTCTTTTACCTGTTGGAATTTTTATCACGTGACAATTCGGGACGATTAACATTTTGCTTTGCATCAACTTTGTAGGAAAGCAGCTCGGATCGCAATGAGAATCGACGTACTTAACAATTTACCAACTTTGATGGCTGAAGATTTAAAACTTCGAGCTTCGAAATCGAGTTGAGATCATTGAGACTTTTAAATTTTCAAAGGCAGTTAAAAAGCGAAGTTAGTTAAATTATTTTTCATTAAATTTAAACAAATTTTTTGTAAATTTATTTTTAATTTATAGCTTGTCTTTTAGATTATAGCTTGTACGCGTCGCTATACCACGCTAGAAACTGCCGTCAATGTAAAAGCGTACAAACGAACCAAACATCAAGGTTTGAGAGAAGTAAGAGCAACTGAAAAACTTGAGAAACAGTAAAAATTAAAAGCGGAAAGAAAGGTAATCAATCATTGACCTAATGACCTCTCCCCCCCTCTCTCTCTCTCTCTCGTGTTTAACTTTTTTGTTGGTTTTAATTTTAGCCATGGAAGGAAATTCTCAGCGAACCTTTCATGAAATTACCTTCTAAAAATAAATTACCGGATTATTACGACATAATAAAAAAACCTTTGGATATAAAGAAAATATTTAACAGGATAGAAGATAGAAAAGTAAGCGGGGGGGAGGGGGGGGAAAAGTTTCATTCTGACTATTGTCATTGTTGTTTCAGTATTCGGATTTTGACGATTTGGAAAAGAATTTTACTCAAATGTGTAAAAATGTTCAAATATACAACGAAGAACCTTCTCTCATACACGAAGATTTAATCCGTTCAATCCGTTTTTACGAACGCGAGACAAAGATTGGAACAGGATGCGGAAACGGATGAGGATAAAGGTGATGATGAGAGAATCCCGTCGTTCGGATTTTATTATTTTTCGAATTTTATTTATTTTGATTTTTTAAATTTTCAGACGGTGGACGACGAGGATGGAAATTCCGAATCGGAATCCGTTAGAATGAAAATAAAAATAAAAAGTGGAAAAGGTGGAAGAGGAGGAGAGGGAAGAGGACGCACGAGAAGGAGGAAAACTCAACCAAAGTACACGAATAGCGATGACGAAGACGAAGATGATTGATTGGAAAGAGGAAAAAAAAAAAGAAGAAGAAGGAGGAGGAGGAGGTGGAAAAAGAAGAAACAAAAAGGAAAAGAAAAGGAAAAAGAAGAAAATAGGAAAAAAAAGAATTTTCGGTCGAAATGATTTTCGCAGCGCACAATGCTTGGGAAATTCGAGTTTTTCTTTTCGTTTTTTAATCTTTTCTTTTGGTTTTTCGTATAGAACGGAAATGACGTCGTCGTTTGCGGAGGGTAGAGAGGATAAAGGAGAAAAAAATGAATTAGATTAAGAGAAATAATAATCTAAAAAAATGCTATTTTTTTTAATTTTTTATTTATTTATTTTAATTTCATGACTCGATGATTGATTTTAGATAATTTTATTATTATTATCACTGTCGATATTGTCATCAATATCATTATTATTATTATTATTAATGTTAGTCAAAGTATAAGAAAAACTAAAATAAGTACAAAATGTAATTCAATAATGTGAGGTTTTTCGCTCATCTGACAGTTCGATTGATGAACTTAATATTATTATTATTATTATTATTATTATTAGTACCGATAATTTTCTATATATAATTTTCATCGTCTGCTAATTGTACGATGATTTTAACGCGACGATATCATTCGAAACGTTTTTTTTTTGTAGTTTTTCTCGTACGAAGTATTCCAAATAAAAAAGTTTCCTTTTAGGGTTAGAACGATAGTATCTAAAAAGAATAAATGCCGAAGATATTAATAAGAAGAGCACGCACAATTGGCTACGGCGTGGAAAACTTAAAGTTGAAACGGAAGCGTTTATTACAGCGGCTCAAGATCAGGCACTGCGGACCCATAACTACGAGAAAGTAATTCTCAAAGTCCGCCAAGACGACATGTGCCGAATTTGCCAATCACAATCGGAAGCCATCGACCCTTTAATCTCCGGTTGACTGATATTGGCAAAACATGAATATCTGGAGAGGCACAATAAAATATGTCAATATTTCCACTGGAGTATATGCCGAGAATATGGAATGGATGGATTACCCAAGGAGTGGCACAACCACATTCCAACCCCGGTAAAGACAAAAGGTCCATGCACAGTTCTGTATGATCAACAAATCCACACTGACAGAACTGTGCCAGCTAAAAAACCGGATATCAACCTCAGAAATAATGCGGAAAAATGGTGTAAATTAATTGAGGTATCCGTGCCGGCAGAAAAAAACACCAGGCAGCCAAAGAAGCAGACAAAAGGCTGAAATATAGAAATTTGGAAATTGAAATAACCAGGATGCGGGGAACAAAAACAGAAACGATTCCGGTCATCGTGGGAGTATTGGGAGCCATGCCACATTCAATAAAAGGAAATTTAAAGAAGATTATGAAGAACCTAAAAGAAGAAATCATCCAGGAAATCGCACTATGTGGGACGGCCCACATTCTTCGGAAAATATTATAAATAGCACCACCGATATTCGAGTATTTGTTTCTAAGGAATCAGGTAGAAACCTGGGATAAATGCTTAAAAACCCCGACAAATAAGAGCCTTGTCGTGTTTAATGGTGAACATAATAATAATAATAATAATAATAATAATATAGTAATATATGTATTTATTCTCTCAAATATATTATTTAAAAAAAAAAATAAAATTTGTTTTTTTTTTTTTCCACCATGCATGTTTGGTTATATCATTCATTTATTCCC